CAAGAGCAGCTGTTGTTAAAGTGTTTAAAGACTGGACTGTCAGCCGAAAATCTGGGTCTGAACGTGCAAATTGTGGCCATAGTCAATGTTAGGGCAGAACGGAGAGTGGCAAGTCATCTTGTGGAGTCATCTCGTGGCCCAACAAAGTACTGATGGGGTGGTCATAATAATCTGGCCATTTCTGTGATCTCGATCTTTTTACATATTTTGTTATATTTTTTGTAACTTTCAAATAATGTCAGTGTTCTTTCCTTTTTATATTTTTTATGTGCCCTTTTTTATTCTTTTTAGCTTTTTTTAAAAAAAATTAAAAGCTCCGCCCAGCTGCCAGAAGCAGGCTTCGGCTCGGCTGAGCCCCTCGGCCATAATCGGGAGCTGTACGGGCTATTGTGAATAGCCCGTACAGCACCCCTTCGGTTCTACTGAACAGAAGGGGTCCTGGGGCCGAAGCTAGCCGAAGGATCGGCCGAAGCTACGGCCAGATCCTTTGGCAGCTTCGTGAATAGACCCCTACATTTTTTGTGGTCACCAGAATAGGAATGGAGTGAAAATCTTCCAAAGGGGACACTAGTTCTAGCAACCCTGCTGACCACCAGGGATTTCCCTCACTTTGGAGGGATTGCCTCTCAATTTCGGTTGTGGCTATGGGACAAAAACAGCTGTCCCATATCAATATATATCAATAACGAAAAGAAAAAGGTTTGGCTTCAGTTTCTGCTGCAAGACAGTGACCCAGCTTAGTATCATACTTTCGGAGGGCATTTGGGGACAAGTGGGGAAATCTCTCTTTCTTTCTCTCTCTCTCTCTCTCTCTCTCTTTCTCTTTTTCTCTCTCTCCCTCCCTCCCTCCATCCATCAGGCCATCCCTCCATCTTTGATTTATGGACACACATTCATTTTACTAAAGAAAGTGCCTTTATGTAGTTTACTCTTTTAACTTTGTTATCTGATATCTGTAAGTTTTGTGTTATTATTGTTCAGATCAGATGTAATGGTGAGCGTGATTGGTGAAATCCTGCAGGTTCAGCAGGTTCTATCCCATACTATGCTATATTTATACACATATATGTTATGAATAAGTGGGGTCATGGAGATAAGTGGAGTACAGGGAGTAAAGAAAAGGGAGTTCAGAGGGTGACAATAAAGTCGGTCATTAACAAAATGCTTTTCAAGGTAAGGTACAGAATTGGAATGTTACATTGTTCAAACATTCCAAATGCAAGAGAGGTATGTATTATATATAGTGTCTCATAATGCTTTAAGAAAATAAACCTATGTACAGTAAGTGCAAACAGCAATATACAGTAATCAAAGCAACCATTCAGAAAATATCTAATTTGCACTAAAATGCAAATGGAGATATGTGATCGTTTGCTATAGGTTTCTGTACATCATTGCCATGTGAAAAATGCTACCAAACTCCCAGCCGGACATATTTAAGTAATTGTTTGTTAAGTAAAGAAGCCAATTACCTTCTATCACTGATCTTGAGACAGTGAAATTAAAACTGATTGGTTTGTGTTTGATACTTAATCATTTTTCTGCGCACTGACTAATTGAATAATGCCGGCCATACATGCATTGATTATACATGCAATCATCAGTCATTTGAACAAATGTCTGAAATATTTGTTTAATGCAAAATAAACTGTAAATCTTGTCAATTTTATGATCAGAAATGTATTGGATAAAACAAATCAAGTGTTTTAATTGGCATACCATGATCACCAATTGCTTGTCTTGATCAAAATATTGAAACAGTTGTTTTATGGAACTATTAGATTGATATGTGTACGGCTGGCATTAGGTTGTTTATGTAGTTTAATGTCTTATCCATCCTGTTTTATGTGCTGCTTCTGTTGCCTGTTCTTCACACTTAATTGCTAGAACGTTTTAGTCACCTGCTTATAGACACTTTATTTCCCTAAATTTACCATTTTTATCAACTAAACATTGTGCTTTTCTGTCTTTTCACCCTCTTGTTTTGTGTGCAAACATTATCTGCCAATTGGCTGACAGTGTTTTTACATCCAAAATGCAAAGCAGACAGATGGGAGCCTCTGGAAAAAACATGACTAAAAGTACCAGCATCGGAGGAGATATGTATACATTGGAGAAGAACGACGGAAGCCAGTCCGACACAGCTGTGGGAACAGTTGGCACAGGAAACAAGAAACGGCGATCCAGCATCGGCGCCAAAATGGTGGCTATTGTTGGCTTGTCACGGAAAAGCCGAAGTACCTCGCAGCTCAGCCAAACAGGTAGGATGCTTATTCATTATTACTATTGATGAAGAACTGATTTGTGCTCTGTTATAGGTGGGGTGCTTGAGGCACCATGAGTAGGTTTTGAAACATATTATAAAGATCTAAAAAAATGTCTATGAAAATGAAAATAGCCATTTTCTTGGTTGATCTGCCATTTGGAAAATCTGCCATTGTCTTACTTGAGGAAACATTTAGGAGAACAACCTTTTTGCTGATGATGTTAAAGAGAAAGACCGTTTTGTTGTGATATTCAGGAGAACAACCATTTTGTAGTCTGGCTTAATATGTAGAACAACCATTTAGTAGTCTGGGTTAATATGTAGAACAGCCATTGTGTTGTCTGGGTTAATATGTAGAACAGCCATTGTGTTGTCTGGGTTAATATGTAGAACAGCCATTGTGTTGTCTGGGTTAATATGTAGAACAGCAATTGTGTTGTCTGGGTTAATATGTAGAACAGCCATTTTGTAGTCTGGGTTAATATGTAGGCAAACATACATTGTTTTGTCTGGGTTAATATGAAGAACAACTATTTTGTACTCTGGGTTAATATGTAGGAGAACAGACGTTTTTAACCACTTCCAGGCCGCAATACGTCTATAGACGGCGACCCGCAGAAGTGGTTAAAGCAGGAACACGGCTGCTGCAGCAGCCATGTTCTTGGTGTCATTTTTAACAGCCAGCGGTGGCTGTTAATGTACAAGCGATCTGGCGTCTATACAGCCGCCGGATCGTTTGTACCATGCGGCGCCCTCCCCTCTCCCCCGCCGGAGCCAGCGGTTTCCCCGGGCTCTGCTATCCCCGTGCGTGCAGCGCCCGGGACTGGCTCGGCGGGTCTCCCCCCGCAATGATCGGAGAGAGATTCAGCGAGCTTCCAGCTGCTGATCTCTCCTCCGATTACTGGAAGTGATGTGTATTACATCACTTTTCCGGTGTCACTATTTGCATTCTCCGGCTCTTAGAGCCAGGGGAAGAACCTGAGAAAGCAGATATCTGCTTCTTAAGCTTCTTTGGGGTACCTAGGTGACATTAGGGGTCTGAAAGACCCCAGATGTCTCCATGAAGAGGACCTGTCTCTAGGGATGCACCGATACTAGTATCGGTATCGTTGCTGATACCGAGTATGTGGGCGAGTACTCGTACTCCCCCAGATGCTCCAATACCTTCCCCGATACCGGAACTTCCGGCAGTGCAGTAGGGGAACACGGAGCCAGCTTCCTGTGAGATCAGAAAGCTGGGCTGCGAGTAATGACCTGCCCCTCAGCTTCCTGATTAGCCGGGAAGCTCCATGCTGATTGGCTGGGAAGGCGGCTTCCTGGCCACTCAGCATGGAGCCGGCTTCCCAGCCAATCAGGAAGCTGGGAGACGGGTCATTACTCACTGCCTAGCTTCCTGATTGTCGCCTCGATGCTGATTGGCTTGGAACCCGGATTCCCGGCCAAGCTCAATCAAGCATGTTAGACAACATGGAGCCAGCTTCTCGGGCAATCAGATTGCCTGGGAAGATGGCTCCATGGCAGTGGAAGCACCAGTATCGATACTTGGTATCGACGAGTACCAAAAGCAAAGTATCGGTACTCATACTTGATACCGAAAAACCAGTATCGGTGCTTCCCTACCTGTCACACCCTCTCTGCTATTACATTGGGGACTTGTTAGCCCCCCTATGTGATAGCAATAAGATTAGTGTAAAAAAAAAAAGTGTTTAAAAATTAAAAAAATGAAAGTAACATATAAGAAAAGTGAAAAATGCTAAATAAAAAGTCCCCCGCATACACACGCAAACACGCATCAGTGTGCCTACGTACGAAAACGACAATTGCGCTTGGTGTGAACAAGCACTTAGAGATTTTGTTTTTCTGATGTATTATTGGTACAAGTGTCCTAGATTGACTTATTATAAGTCCGGGTTCTAGGATCTTTAGAGGTATTTGCTGATCATAGTAGGATTGTGCAGGCTGATTGAAGCACTGTCCGCGATAATTGTTTATTTGCACTTAAGGAGTTAAATCTTAAAAATGCATTCAAGTACCTTAACTATTAACAAAAATATAGTTGTGCCTCACTCAGCTGAAGATCCTCAAATCCTCCCAACCGCGCAAACTTTAACATAAGCATGGATTCTGCACGTTTGCGGCTATTACTATACCCAGAACATGCAGAATCCGCCATTAAATCGCGCTTGTACTTTTTTGCGGGACGCACAGCAAACTGTCTGAACAATGCACATTGCAATGCATTGTTTTTTATGTTTAGAGCTTTTCCGCATGTATTTGTATGCCCCAATACGCGCGCAAACCCTCTCATGTGTGAATGGCGCCTGAATTGGTGTTGACACTGTCCTTCCTTCTGGAGGGTGGCTACTTTTGTTCTCCATTGTCACCGTGTGTGTTGAAAAGTAGCCACCGCTCCAAGCTCACTCCTGTGATGGACTGTATAATAATACTATTTATTATTATTATTATTATTATTATTATTTGCTTTTTAACACACTATGGGGCTGATGCATGAAAGCTGGAAAAAAGAGAGAGATGAGCACAGAAATTTCTTGCTCATTTTGTAGTTTTTTTTATATTAATCTTTTATTTTGCAGTTAACAAAAAGAAAGAAACCCATCAATGTCAAGTGCCACATTTGCTTAATTTTTTTCATTTAATGGGGGCAAAAACTGTTTGGTTGCTATTGGCAATAACTACATTTTTTTATTCATTTGGCTGTAAAGCCCCCCGGTTGTGTCTATAGGCTAACAAAATGCTGCCCCCTTCCTAGTCTTCCCAACCCAACTTCCAACTTCCAGCCAACCCCTTGGCTCCTGGGAGAAACAGCAGTGAGAAGGGAGCGAGATCAGTAAACTCCTACTCGCCTATCTACCCCACATTGACTCTGAGCACTCAGCTCCTTAACTCCCTAACCTTCCTTTTTGCCAATTATTCCACTTATTATTAAAGGGCTAATAGAGTGGTGGCGGTGCGGGGTTAGCCTTGACGTTTACAGGAAACGTTTAGACTTGTATATATCCTAAGCTTTATATATTTCTGGATCTACTTCTTTTTTTACCTTTGTGCTTTGTTAGTTTGAATAGCCCAGGGTTTGACAGGTTTCCTTTAAGCCAGCTGTTTCCACGCAGAACTTAAAGGCTGGAAACTGAGACAGAATGATAAAAAAAAAGTACATTTGGTAGTAGGGTGTTTATAGATCATCATCTGGTTCATAGAAGAGTTGTCATTCCTCTCTACTGTGAACAGGGACAACGTTTTATATGCTCCAAAGAGGTTCCCGCCGCACTCCTTACTGGTATGTCCCTTTTAAAAGTGGGTGCTGCTGTGATGGTGGATGGCGCCACTTCAAATCCAAATAGTAAAGTATATCACCGGCACACCAAAGTAATCTTCAACGAGTGGTAATTTTATTGATGTACACACATCTCGTCATAAAGCAAATAACCACTCGTTGAAGATTTTACTTTGGTGTGCCGGTGATACACTTAACTTTTTATATGCTTCCCCCCGAGTGTGAAATGGCAGTGCAGCTGTATGCACCAGCTACAATACACCACTGCAAGGTGTATGCTTAGTGCCACCGGTACTTTTATAAAATGTCAGAAGACAAGTCAGATGTACTTGGTGGGGGCTGCCATAGTTTAGGTGTAGATAGGTGCTCAAATGAATAGACACAGGAAGTGGGAACAGGGTCTGTGTGGTGAATGTCTGGTTAAGAAAACCTGGAACTTTTTATATATGATGCTGCATGTGTTTTGATATTTGTGCCCAGGCTGGAATGTTACAGTCTTGTTAAAGTAACCCTGCAATGAGACAATACACAGACTGGCACTGATGACACTGCCTTCCCAAAATGGTAGCTACTATGGTTTCAGTATGTCCTGAGCGTCGATCTAGAGCACAAATGCATACCAGCGGTTCTGACTTCTCCTCTGGCTTTCTTATCTGCATACGTGCTCTGGGTCAGTGACTCAGAGTATTGAATCCAGGAATAGCCAGGCAATGGCAGCCTCCATATTCCTCTCACTACAGGTTTCCTTAAAGTTCTGATCCTCTTTGTGACCCAGAATATTCACCCTCTGTACATTCATTTTATCTTTTATAAAGATACTTGAGTCAGTCCTGGCCAATCTTTCTATTTTTAAACTACCTGGATATAGCTGTGCCTTCTGAGGAAACAAGGGATTATGCCGTGCATTTTAAGTGCATAAGCTGATTATGCAATGAAATTACTTTTGAAGTGAGGCATGCCATTGATCTGTAAACCTAAATTATGCTGCAGGAGTTTCAAAGACCTGGATAGAACCAAACCAATATTCTGCTATAAAACCACGACACAGTTTTGCTGTATTTTAGAATATAAACTTGGATGTGTATATCTATATCTATAGATATATATCTATAGATATACAGTATATCTATAGATATATATATACATTGAAAGTGTAGAAGTATTGAAACCTCTGTCAGGATTTTATTGCTGTCTTTGTAGGAATGTACCCTCTCTAGGGTCTTATGACCATTGTCACCGGGGACTGAAAGTGAGGGGAAATACAAAACTGTCTCCAGAACAGGAATAACAATAACTAAAACAATAAGAAACTTGTATGGGTGGCAACTGTCTAAGAGAGCATTGCTTTATTTTAATTAGATTTCCTCTCGCTTCCTGTTGTGTCTCTGAGATGGGAAGTGAAGAAAAATCTCCTCAATGGAACACAGGCAGCAAAAAAAAAAAAAAATACAAGGGTTTAAACCGTTCGATACTTTATCCAAAACTAAAAATGAACAAGTTTTGGTTTTAGCAATGCCTTAAGGCTGGCCAGTTGACTGGGGTATGTGTGTAAAAGACAATACATATAATGGGCAGGAAGTATAAATCTGGTCCTGCACACATTGTGTTGCTACACGGAAGAAAAGAACATGAAAAAGGTTTTCCCATGTTGGCCATGCATTGTACATCAGCATCAGAAGTATGCAGCTACTTTGAAGGTTGCC